GAATGGTGTCTCCCAAGGATTGTGCAGTGCACAACCCATAAAACGGAACATTATGGCCCTCCCATCTCATACTCCTGAGCATGGTTCCCTCATGATCCCAACATGCTTCGTGTTCTTCCTCTCTCCACTGTGTCATCGAAACCTGCTGTTACGGCACACTGACATACACTGCTGGGAAGCAATCAGGTGAATAGATTTAGAGGGTAATTTTACAATAAAGGTTAAAAAAATGAAAGATACTCTTTAAGCCATCAATTCCACTGCCAGCAATTATTTTTGCAGAAAAAAAAATCAGATATGTACGCAGACATAAGAACAGGAATTTTTCATAAAACTGTTTATATAGCAGAGAAAACTAGAATATCCAATTGTTTATAGTTAAAGCAGTTATGCTTCAGCGTATTCACAGGAAGACGCATATGTATATCACAAAACCTTTCAACCGGTGAGGCAGATCTACATGTACTGACAAAGAAATATTCCCAATACGTCATTAGGGGACAGAGCAGGCATAGACAGTCTATCACCATGATTGACCTTGTAAAAAATAAAACTTCCTGTGTCAACAGGACAAATTCTAGAAGGATGAGGATCAACAGATAATTTGTATCATTTACTTTTCCACAATTTGTATGTATAACTCGCATGATTAAAAAATAGACATGTATTAGAAAAATATACTCCTGGGGCAGGCTTCCTTCTCCAGTCATGCCAGGCTCCAGGTAATAGGCGCAGTCTCTCCTTCAGCTAAACTGGGATGGTTACTCTGCAATGATGGACCCAGATCCCCCCACCCACCCAGTGCTGTGGATTGAACCCAGGACCTTGGCATTGAGCTACAGCCCCACCTCTTTTTATATTTTTTGAGATAGCATCTTACTAAGTTGCCCAGACTTAGCTCAAACTTGTGATCCTCCTGCCTCAGCCTCCCAGAGTGCTGGAATTACCATGCACAGATTCAGATTTTTATTTTGGAGCAAGATTCTCCTCCATGTTGAGGTAACGAATCCCGATTTTTTGTTTTTAAACTGAGGATTATATTGTCAGGACTCTAAGTTTTAAGCAACAAAAATGTATCCTGAAGAGGATTCATTGGTTAGCTGGGTCCAGGTGTTCAACAGTGTCCTCAGGGCCATCTTGGTCCTGCTGGCCTCTGTAGTCACTTCTCTGGCAGGCTCCTCACAGTGGTGAATGGTCCCCAATAGCCTGGTGTCTGGGTGACCCCAGAGCAGAGAGAGTTGCTCCTTCTTAACCACTTCAGTGAAGGTCTCACTAGGTGTGATTGGCCTGATTCAGGTCCCCTCGTTGTCATAAACTGAACCTTGTGGCCCACATCCCAGTGGACCCGAGTGAGGCCTGTCCCACACACACTTTGGACACTCACTCGGTTTCTCCTTTAGGGGCCCCCAATTCGCCCCAGGTCAGTTCACATAGACAATGGTATAAATAAGTAAGATTCTCATTGTTTCCTGCAAGTAGAGATCAGAATTCCGTTATTGTGTTTCATTATCTTTTTTTAAATTTTGTAATTTTGCAAGACCACAGAGGAGCTGCTGTAATAACCTCCCACGGTAATGTTCATCAAATAATGGGTGATGATTTATGGCTTTTGTGACTCTTAGTTGTCACCATGCCTGGCGGGAGAGTTGACAGCTGGCAGAAAGCAGGGATTGCTAATACTCTCCACCAGGTGTCTGGGCTGAGTTAGAAGAAAAATAAAACAAATGAAGAGAAGGCATAAAACTCCAGGAGCTTGTTTAGATAGGATAAATATTCAGTAGATGGATTTTTCTGGTCTAAGCCTCCTAAACTGTTAAGGAAATTTCAATTATTATCGGTCATTAAGAACCTCATTTGAACATCACAAGAGCATGATTCTCTCCATCAGTTTTTACCAGTGGCATCTGGAATCTCATAAACAGAGGAGCATGCATAAGGCAGTGGAGTCCGACTCCTCACCAATCACTCACTGTGGGAAGGAGCGTTTTCAGAGGGCCACATTTCTTTTATTTTTTATTTTTGTACCAGGGATCGAACTCAGGACCTTGTGCTTGCGCGGCAGGCGTCGGCACCACTGAGCTAAATTCCCAGCCATGGCCACATTTCATTCACAGGATTCAAATGGATCTTTTAAAAACCACGCAGTTTTGCATCTTGAAGCAGTCCAGCTTTCCAGCCACTAGCCTAGTGTTTTGAGAGAAGAAAGACCAGAATGAACGTCTACTCCTGCATAAGTGCATAGTGTCTCCTAAGAAATACCAGGGACCTGTTTACAGAGTTAATTATAAACTCACAGCTCCCAAGGACGCTTTACTGCAAACAGCTCTTCATATCATGTGACTCTTCTGTTAATGCAATTGGTTAAAATATAATTTTGAATGGGCCACCTGGTTAGTAAGGTTTCATGGCAAGAAGATTAATCAGTCTTTAAAAGCAAGCCCTGCAACATGGATAAAGCTTGAAGACATAATGCAGAGTGAAATAAACCAGCCACAAAAGGACAGATACAGCAGGATTCCACTTACATGAGGTCACCTTCAGGGAGACACAGAGCTGGATGGAGGTTTCCAGGGGCTGGGAGTGAGGGAGAAAGTGATGAGGAGTTAGTGTTGCATGGGGCAGAGTAGAAAAATGAAAAGTCTTGGAGATGGACGGTGGTGACAGTTACACCACATGGCACTAGAGATGGAACCTCGGGAGCACTGGCATATCCAGCCCTTTTTATTTTCCATTTTGAGACAGGGTCTTGTTAGATTGCCAGGCTGGTCTCAAACTTGTGATCCTCCTGCCTCAGCCTCCTAGAGTGATTGAATAATGGGCATGTGCCACCACACCTGGCTGAGATTTTAGACATTTATTTGAAATATGATTTGCAAATATTTTTCCCATGCTGTGAGTTGTCTTTTATTCATGTGTTGTTTTTTAAAGCACAAGGGTTTTTTTGTTTTGTTTTGTTTTGGTACCGGGGATTGAACTCAGATCCTTGCGCTTTCGAAGCAGGAAGCGGAACCACTGAGCTAAATCCCCAGCCCCAGCACAAGGGTTTTTAATTTTGATGATGTCTAATTTATTCTTTTTCTTTTGTTACTTCTTATCTTTGCTACAGACACTTGCTTAATCCAAAGTCATGGAAAATTTACATCCATGTCTTAAGATTTTTAGCTTTAGCATTTTCATTTAGGTTTTAAATTTTGAATTAATTTTTCTAGATGGTATGAAGTAGGGGTCTAACTTCACTTTTTTTGCATGTAGATATCTAGTTGTCCTGGAACCATTTGTTGAAAACATTATTCTTTCCTCAGTCTTGGCACCTCTGTTGAAAAATCAATTGGCTATAGACACAGGGTTTATTTCTGGACTCTCAGTTCTATTCCATTGATCTATATGCTTGTCTTCATTATAGTCTCACACAGTGTTGATGAATGTGGAAATGGGAGTACTCCAACTTTATTGTACTCTTTCAAGATCATTTTGACTATTTTGCATTTTCTTCTTAATTTTAGGGTCAGCTTGTGAATTTCTGTTTTAAAAGTCCAGCTGGGATTTGGACAGGATCTGTGGTGAATCTATAGATCAGTTTGGGGAGAAGTACCATCTATAATGAACATAGAATGTCTTTTCATTTGATAAAGTCTTCTTTCATTTCTTGCCATGATGTTTTGCAGTTTTCAGTGTATAATTTGCACCTTTGTTAAATTTATTCTGAAGTGCTTTATTCTTTTTGATGCTGTTGTCAATGGAATTATCTTTTAATTTCATATTCAGATTGTTCACCGCTAAGTGTATAGAAATTCAATTGATTTTTTTGTATACTGATCTTGTATCTTGCAACCTTTAAGACTGAGATCAATTCCTGCTTTTCTATAGTACCGTTTAGGATCATCTCATCTATCAGCCATCTTTTCCTTCTAGTGACTTTAGGATCTTTCCTCTTCCCTTGGCCTCCCTCAGTTGTGATTTTAGCACAGGAGAGGTTTGGATTTGAACAGCCGGAACTTTCATACAGTAAACATTGACCCCTTAAATATCTTCCACGCTTTGAGGGACATTTCTAGCTATTGTGTGATTGTCTTAGTTACTTTCTCTGTTGCTGAGACAAAATACCCAACACTAAAAGTTAAAAGAGGAAAGGTTTATGTTAGCTCACAGTGTTTAGAGAGGTTTCAGTCCATAGTTGGCTGGCTCTAAGGCAGGGGTGGATGGCAGAGGGGCATCACAGAGGAGAAATAGCTCACGGAGTGGCAAGGCAGGAGGAAGGTAGCAAGCTGCAAACAGCCAGCCTGCCTTCTTTCTGTTCCTTTATATTCTATCCAGGCTACAAGCCTATTGATTGGTGCCACCCACACCCAGGGTGGAGCTTCCATTATTCCCACCCAGAACTATGATAAAGCAATTTAGTTATCACATACCCTTAATCCCAGTGTCAAACACCCATGATCCAGCCACCTTCCCAAGGTTCTACCTATGAGCACATGAGGCTTTGAGGGGCCATCTAGATACAAGCCAGTGATGACAGCATATAGCCACAGTTCCATTTTGAGCTTTTATCACATCTTTTTATACCACAGTGTTTGTTGGTATGATGAGCTGAATTCATCTGTTTACAGATTGCTTTTCATACTGAGCCTTTGGGAAGCACTGAGAATGGGCTCCAAAGCCCCTTGCAATTGGAAGGATGGGGATAGGAGGACCTTAGCACTTAAGACAGAACAATTCCCCTCATTCTGTTGTACATCAATTACATATTGGGCTTTTGGGACTGTCCCACTAATGGGAAAATGGTTGGAAGATACTTTTAATGGTAATGATAATTCAACATAAGTTTTGGTAGAAATTCTGAACCACTCTTTAAGACCTAGGTTACAGAGAATCCCATTTCTGAAGTCTGGATGTGAGCTATTGTATCCTGTTTCAAATTCACTGGGCCGTTTCCCCATGGCCCCTCCATGTCACAGAAATTCCCCATCAAGCCACAGGCCACACCTGCACATGACCCTTACCAGATAGCCTCTCCAGAAGGATTGTATGATAATTGCTGCTTCCTCTTCTGTCAATAGGAGGGAGAGTGGGATTGGTGGCCGTGGGCTGAAAAGCAATAAAATGGTCATATGTTCATGCGATCCAATTCTTCAACCCCAGCAATTCTTCTGATAAAATAAATCTCTCTAATTAAGAGCCTCATCCATCCCCGTTTTTAGAAAGCAACAATGTCAATCTTGAAAGGAAAGTGTATTTTGGAGTTAGCATTTTTATACTAAAATTTGGGATTCTTTTTAGAGCCAACATAATCTCAAATCACTGTTCGTCTTCTCTTCTGTTGAAGGACTCAGATTGCTCGTTAGCCCCACAGGTGCAACATACATGTGACCAGCACATGACTACATGGACATAGTGCCACAGTCAGAAGAAACTCAGCCTTTATGGTCTACATTAGGACTGAGATCATAAAGGGCTTTCTCCCATTTCCACTGCAGGGAAATTCACCAGTTCATCTCTTTCCAGAAAGTAAAATACTAAATTTTTTTTTTTTGGTACCGGGGATTGAACTTGGATCCTTGCACTTGCACAGCAAGCAGCGAAACCCCTGAGCTAAATCCCCAGCCCAAAATACTAAACTTTATGTCCGATTAGTGTGCATTTCAGGTTAATGTAGTTTAAGTTTGAGCATATTTTTAAGTTCTGCTCTTACATCTTATCAAGCAACAAAATATCTCAGTGCTGGCTCAGATGATTGTGTTCTTATGGGATTTTTAGATTATGATGAGGTTTTTAAAAAATTACAGCTACATTAAAATCATGATTACATGCTTTTTCTTCTCTCTAAAAATTTAATGGCGCCATGAACAACTGACAAGGTCTTATAAGTCTGTATTAATCCTGATTCCTCATGTGGGCCCAAAGCAAACCACAGCTACCTCCGAAAAGCGGGGGGAAAGACTTTTCAGACTACAAAGGAGTGAATCCCTGAAAGGATATGGATCATATGGAGGATGCTTCCTGGACAGGATCCCCCAAATTGACTTTGAAAGTGTGAGATCCCCGAGTGTCCCTGGGCCCAGAGCCCTTCCTAATGACAGCTAGAGCTGACAGTAACTTTCTGTGTGCAGAGAGCATGACTACCCGGCCCAAGGTCACAGAGCTTGTAGGTGACCTAGGCAGGATCGGGTCCAGGCTTCCCTCACAACAGCATGCTGACGCCCTCACATCAACCAAGCAAACCCTTACGGATACCCAGCCTGCAACAGACTGCAAAGGCAACTGACAGCAGTGCATGACTCTCCAGGATCTGGGGATTTTATTTCCCTCCTAACTTTGACTTTAAAAAAAAAGAAAGAAAAGAACCTCCATACAGTGTATTTGTCTGAATGAGTGAGTGTGCCTCTGAATGATTCCAGAATCAAAGAACTCAAAGCCAGGAAGCACAGAGGGTTATCAAGACGGTGTCCAGTGTTGGTGCCAGCTCTGGTTTTCTGGCCGGACTGGTCCTTTCTAAGAGGCATGTAAAGGGGAATCTTCCACTTCTTTGCAGAGATAATTACACCCTAAAATGACAGCATTGTTAGGAACCCTGCCTTAATGCTCAGTTTCCATTTCTGTTCCATAATGTGGTGGCTTTTCTCGGGGTTCTGTTTCTGGGTTTCCCTCTCCTTGCCTCATTAATAACCTGTTTTCTGGGCTCTGAAGGAGCAACCTTCTCCGGCTGCAGTCCCGCTCTTGGAGGCTCACTGACGCCCTGAGCTCCACACTAAACGTCTCTCCTCCTCATGGTTTCATCGTCCTCATTCCCTAAGTCTCAGTGATGTGACACCGACAAATCAATCCCCGAAGTGATTTCCCCTCACTAGTTAAAACGCAGCGGCTTCTAGCGAGACCTTGGTGTTTCTGAGACCTTGATGTGCTGGTGGTGAATTTATGAGAATAATGCCACAGTTCATTAACACTAGCCGATGCTACTGAGTGCTTTCTGGACACCCCTCCAGCAGGTTGCACCTTTGTGCGGCAGTCAGACTGGCCCTTTTCATCTCCTCACACAGGCCATCCTCCCTTCCTCCCACCTCAAGGCCTTTGCAAAAGTGCTTTCCTTGCCTTTCAACCCAAACCCTCTGCCTGAAGCAAGGGGCACCTGTGCAGTTGCACAGATTGCTCTCTGCCCCAGGGCACTCGGCAGAGGGGCCGGAGTGCTTCACACCCCCATACCCTGCTCCCTCAGCCTTGCCCTAAAGGAAGGACAGTTTTATTTGATCAAATGCATCGTAAGGCTGGTGGAGACCTGACACCACTTTCTCCTAGTTCACTCTTATTCCTCTTCTCAGCTCCATTATAATGCTTTTTTAAAACTTATTCTCACTAGGTCAGGGGCCAATTTTTGCCATTTTTCTTACTTTTCTTCCTGGTCTTTGGTCCAATTTGGAGATATAAGCCCATGTGACTATCTAATTAATGCCCAAATCTTATCCTGGACTGAAAGCTCCATGAGGGCAGAGACTGGCCCTGGGTTTGCTCCTCTTGGTAGCAAGGACCTAGGACAATTCCAGCACGTAAATACTTGAGTAATGAGCAGCTGTCTCCATGCCTGGCAGCGTACTAGACATGATTTCAACAGATCCTCACAACAGGAAAAATGGGCTATTGTTATCCTCCCTTTAGGGTTGAAAGCGGTGAGGCACAGAGCGGTGAAGGGGCTCATTCAGGGTCACTATTTCCTGCTGAGACTGCAAACTCCCCAGGAAACAGGGAAGGGGCCAGCTCACAGGGTCATGAACATGGAAGTCAGGGTCTAGCAGCTGTTGGGTGCTAAATAGATGAAAACACAGTAATTTGCCTAGAAGGAAAAAAATGAGAGGTGTGTGCCATAATCACAGAAAATGCACTCTTCGTTGGCCCATACAGTATCCACTTGGCAGATCCTCACTTATCTGAGCCTCTACAGGACAGCCCTATGTCAGGACACTAAACAGAGTGGGTCTGTCACTTGCCTCTGAAGGCACATTTGATGAGGTTTTTCTTTTCAGCTGCAATTTCCCTGCCTGAAGTATGTTTGTGACTGCAGATGTCATGAAGTGCTCAGAGTAACAGTATTTCTACCTGGGAATAGCAGGAGGAAGGGAGAACTGTGGTTCTGAGGACACGAGGCTGGATGAGCCCAACAAAAGGCTTTGGCCAGCAATGAAACCCTGAACCACTCTGCATCACAATGACATCTTCAAAAAGCAAAATGAGTTTCCTAATAGGCCTTTAAGGCAGTAATATGAGGCCACCTTTAGTGACATCCTTGCTTTCATGGCTAAATAATGCAGCACTGTCTAGTTCACAAACAAGAATAAGTATGAGAAAGCCAGTGTATATCAGGCTAAATGGACTTAGTCTTCAGAGAATATTCCCTGGGAATTATCAATCATTTCAGCAGGCCAGCTTGAAGGGAGAGAAGCTTTGCCAGGCCCTTTTCTCTCTTTTGGAAACAGTGCAACTGGCTTCAGGTCAAACAAAAATAAAGAGGCAAGCGCTCATCATCAGGGAACTGGGGAGGGGAGAGGAGATCAAAGTGTCAATCACAGGAGATGGCAGCTGAGGCTCCTCAGGGGCTGAAACTGGACATCCCCAGAGCAGACCTTTTTGTGCATTCGATCAGGCTGAAAAGTGTTCCTGAGTACGTTTCCAAGAAGCCTTGTTTTATTAGTAATACTCATTTGTCATGTCTTTCTCCTCCCCCCACAAACATGACTTATATATTTATAAACTACAAGAATCAATTCTATAATTCTAAGAAGGGACAGAAATTAATTTTTCTGATGGTGTGTGTATAAAAATGAATGTGCAGGCAGGTGTATACAGGCACTGTCACGTTTTTGGGGGGATGCCAAATAAAATATTTGTAGGGCACAAAGAAGGTATAGTATGCTTACAAAATTCCCAGTAAGAAAATCTGAGAAGTTGTTCTTTATCCATTTCTTTATCTAGTTGTAAGACAAAGCGGTACCATCCAGTAAAAAGTGTAAAGTAGAAAGCAGAAAAACTTGTTTGCTTTTGCAAATTGAATTTCAGAATCCAAATTCTATCAACTTTTCATTAGGTAAGACATTGAGTTGTTTTCTTAGAACACAAAAGCACAAATGTTCCAGATGTAAAGCCATCTACAAAGACCCAGCAGCACAGGCCCTGCATCAAGCATCATAAAGTCCTGGGTAACATCCACCCACTGTGTTCTGAAGTGACCACTCCCTCCCCTTAACTGGTTTCCCAGAGGCTCTCTCTGGGAGTCCTCACATTCCTGACTTACAAACTTCAACTATTTGCAAGAAATACATCAGAGGTCATCTGGAACAATACTTCTAGACATACAGTGACTGGCTCCTAGGTTGGAAACTCAGGATTCTTTTAATTCCAGTTTTCTATGACATGAGAAATAGCTCCCAGCACCACTGCAGCATTACTCTCTGATAACCTTAAAGCACACTTCAGAATCATAGTTACTGGGATGTGGTCTTGCTACACCCCCTCACTAATCTTTACCCTGGGGGACCAACAGCAGTTATTACCCTAGCATCAGGATGAGTCATTCTCCCAGTTAAACACAGAGCTGAGGCCCACTTAAATAACCCCATCATTGAAGCTGCTATGTCTCCAGATAACAGAGCTTGCTAAATGATGAACTGCCATACCACATGTTTACTCTGTGGGTGGCAGGTATAGTATAGCTATCTTAAAAACCAAGGCCATGGTACTTGGTATTGTTTGATAAAATATGCCCAGATTGTGATGTTATTTAGTCCCCTTAGTAACTTCGACTTAAGGGGGAGCTTAAAGAGACCAGCCTGTTCCCCATTCTCTCTCCCCAAGCTCCAAAGGATGAGCCCAGGCCAGGGGAACAGAGCAGACAAGCAGACTGCACCCCCCTCCACTCTTCCCAACCTACTTTTGGGGATCATCACCTTTTTTATGCCTTGGACCCCTTTCTACTTGGGCAGTTTGGATTCCTTCTTAGAACAATATTTTTATCAACATAAATAATAAGATTATGGCAATTCAATTATACTGAAATACAGCTATCAAAATATTAAAAGAACAGCTGATAATATGCTAACATC